CATGCAAATGATAAAGAAATATGAAAGAAAGTGTATTGCAAAAATATAATTCTAATTGTATACTGATATTAAATTTCTATTTATATCAGTGATGCGCAATCTGCAGTCCTTTTATGAATTTTTTATGACTCGCCTTTTATAACTGATTCATAATCAAAAATATGAAATCATTTGAATTTTTTAAATGCAAACGAAATAAATATTATGCAGTTCGTAAGATTTTGCCTATTTCTGAAAATGACTTTAAAAAGGTTGCTCAAATTACTAATTTATATTATTGTTCATTGAATCTATTTTTGGTAAGAAAAAGGAGAAAGTTTTTAAGAAATCTTTTTTTTCGACTAAAATATTCTTGAGAGAAATGTTTGACGACTCTATGCAAAAGCTGATATAACATTATCGACTGTAAAGGATACAGATGTACTGCATTTTCATACTTCGGTAGCGTAATTTGAAGATATATTCCTCTGAAGAAAGAGATTACCAACAATAGTCTTCAAAAAAAGTTGCTTTTAGATATAATAATTCCTAAACGAATTTATTTATTTCTTATCGAGTAAGTTTTGCCAAATGATATGAAGAATTTTTCGAAAAGATCTATTAAAATATAGCGTTTTGCTTTTATCGTTAACTACAAGTTCTGTCTGATTGAAGCGCCTTGCACGATTTTCCTGCAATCTTGTCAGCAAACAGCTGTTGGTAAGGGAACTATCTGTATCAGTTTATTAAATTCAATTCCGCATATTACTCAAAATATATATATTAAAATAATGAACAATACGTACAATAATATTTCAAATTATTTTTAATAGCATATTTATTATTTTTAAAAATATGTGTTCTCACATTTATAATACTTTAAGATATATTACATTGTATTATAGCTTATATTGTAATATATCCGATAAACTTCAAATGATATTACATCAATACTCATATTAATTTCTCACTAAATTAAATAAAAAATATGTAATATCGATATAATGTTATTGTTAGTTGGTGGTTTTTGCTAGATAAATATAGCCTAGTATAATATATAACGTTGTAACTATAATATAACAGATTATCTTCTTTTAATCAATATTTTAAAATTGTCTATATAAAATATAGTTATTTTTATTACATTTTTGTTAGAATTAAGTAAGAAAGATTTATCGTATAAATATATTTGTCAACTTTTAAATACACTTTTAATCAGACATAATTTACAATACGTTCGATTTTTTTATACTTAAGAATTGCAAAGAAAGTCACTTAGCTTTTTCTTATAAAACCTTTAATTGACAAGCAATGACCATGCGAAACATGGATATATATATATATATATATATAT